ATTGTTGTTGGGGATAGCCAAGTTAGGTATATGGATAGGGCGTTCTGCTTGAAGGACAGGAGTAGGAGACAGAGAGTTTGCTTTCCTGGGGCTGGGATGGAGGATATTGTTAGCCATCTGGATGACATCATGAGAGGTAATGGGAGCAATCCTATTATCTGTCACAGTGCTGGTGGCAACGATGTTGGCAGACGTAGGAGTGAAGACCTGATTAGCAGGTATAGGTCCGCAACAGAAATAATTAGGAGTAAGGGTGGGAACCCTGCCATATGTGGTATTTTGCCAAGGAGAGGAGTTGGAAATGAATGGTTGTCCAGGGCAATTGGTGTCAATTGCTGGCTGGACAAATACTGTAAGGAAAATGTGGTAACATTCATTGACAACTGGGACCTCTTCTATGGCAGAAATGACATGTATGCCAGGGACGGGGTTCACTTATCTAGGTGTGGGGTGGGAGCACTGGCCAACGCAGTGGAGGGAGCTGTTAGGTCTTTAAACTAGGAATAGTTAGTGGTATGGGTTTAGGCGGGAAAACAGTCAAGTTGCAGTGTAGTAATATGAGTACTAGGAGAACTAGTAATAGGCAAAATGAGGTAGATATTGGAAAGCCAGTGGCACTAATTGACAAGGACATTAATAGGTTTAGTGGAATAACAGAAAGGAGCAGGAAGGTTGAAGAGAGAGGAGGGTGTTTAAATATATATTACACAAATAGTCGCAGTGCTAGGAATAAGATGGACGAGTTGAGACTAGTTGCTAGTGCAGGTAACATTGATGTATTTGCCTTAACTGAGACGTGGTTTAATTCAAAAAGTCGGGACATGCCTGCGGAATGTCACATTCAGGGTTTTAAAGTGTTCCAAGTAGATAGAAGTGTCGGGAAGGGGGGTGGGGTGGCATTGCATGTCCGAGATCGCTTGAACTGTTGCTTAAAAACGGGTATTAAGTCTGAAGTAACACATACAGAGTCTGTTTGGATAGAATTTTCAGAGGGGAATGAAAAATTAATTTTAGGTGTGATATACCGTCCCCCAAACTTAGATAGGGACCAAGGGAGACTACTATGGGAGGAAATTGTTAGGGCCACAAGGCACGATAATGTAGTAATTCTAGGAGACTTTAACTTTAGTCATATTGATTGGAATTTCTTGACTGGGAATTTAGAATCATACGACTTCTTAGAAGTAGTTCAGGATTGTTTTTTGAAGCAGTTTGTGACAGAACCTACAAGGGGTAATAACCTGCTTGACTTAGTTCTGGCAAACAATGAATCCCTTGTTAATAATTTAGAAGTTTCAGAGGAACTGGGTGCTAGCGACCACAAATCAATTACATTTAGCATTGAATGGAAGTATGATAGTAGGGATAACTCAGTAACAGTCCCAGATTTTCGCTTAGCAGATTACGATGGGCTTAGAGAACACTTATCATCTGTTGACTGGGGTAACGAAGAGAGCTATCAATATGACAGTTTTCTGAACACTATACATGAGGCTCAAAGAACGTTTATTCCGTATAAAGAAATTAGATCAAATAGAAATGACCCAAAATGGATGAATAATAGGCTGAAATATCTACTAGGGCATAAGAAAGGAATTTATAGGCGTATCAAAAGAGGTGAGTGTCATCTTATGAATCAGTATATTGACATTAAGAGGGACATTAAAAAGGGGATAAGAAAAGCTAAAAGGGACTATGAAATTGAAGTTGCTAGGGATTCTAAAACTAACCCAAAAAGTTTTTTCCAGGTATATAGAACAAAAGTCAGAGATAAGATAGGTCCCCTTAAAAATAACTATGGGCATCTTAGTGACACAGGGAATGAAATGTGCTCGATTTTAAATAATTATTTTCTCTCGGTTTTTACGCAGGAAGACACTAATAACATTCCAGTAATTAATTTCTATAGTGGGCCAGAAGATAAATTATGTAACATCACAGTCACTAGTGAAATGGTTGTGAAGCAGATAGACCGACTGAAGCAAAATAAGTCACCGGGTCCTGATGAGGTTTTTTCAAGGGTTCTTAAGGAATGCAAAATGGAACTCTGTGAACCATTAACTAATATTTTTAATTTATCTCTTCAAAACAGGTGTAGTGTCTGATATGGGAAGTGGCTAATGTAATTCTTTTTTTAAAACAGGGGACAAGTCGTTACCGTCAAATTACCGCCCAATAAGCCTGACCTCAATTGTAGGCAAATTACTAGAGTCAATTATAGCTGAGATTATAAGAAGCCATCTCGATAAGCATAGCTTGATTAATTATACTCAGCATGGATTCACAAGGGGCCCGGTCTTGTCTAACTAATTCATTAACTTTTCAGTAAAGCTTTTGAGGCTGTTGACCACGATAAAGAATTTGATATTATTTACTTAGATTTTAGTAAGGCTTTTGATAGAGTTCCGCACCAAAGGACTGTTAAAGAAAGTGGCAGCTCATGGGCATTGGGGGAAAAGTGCTCTCGTGGGTCGAGTCATGGCTCACAGACAGGAAGCAGAGAGTGTCCATAAATGGGGTTAAATCCGAGTGGGGATCTGTAACAAGTGGCGTTCCACGGGGAAATCAGTCTTGGGCCCGTTGTTGTTTATAATATATATCAATGATCTTGATGAGGGTGTTACTAGTGATATGAACAAATTCGCCGATGACACAAAGATAGGTAGGATAATTGATTCAAACGTAGATGTTAGGGAACTTCAGGAGGATTTAGACAAACTCTACTCGTGGTCAGAGAAGTGGCAGATGCAGTTCAATGTAGATAAATGCAAGGTTCTGAAGCTCGGGAGTGTCCATAACCCTAGCACTTATAAGTTAAATAATGTAGAACTTAGCCATACAGACTGCGAAAAGGACTTGGGGGTTATGGTGAGCAGCAACCTTAAACCAAGACAGCAATGTGTGGAAAAAGACACCTATGTACAGTTCAGGACATTTATTAAAGGAAACGTTTCGCCACGAGTGGCTTCTTCAGTCCTAATACAGAGAAAACTAAGAAAACACACATATATATAGTGGTGGGAGTCAGGTGAGGTGAAGCGTGGGTAGAGGTGGTAGTAGTAGTAGTAGTAGTAATGGAACTAAGGAGGTGAGGTTAGTGAGGGACCTGCTGGCATCAAGTAACACCAGTTCCCAGGATGGGTAATATCCTCTTGCTTAGTAATTTTGAAATACTGTAACTACCGGATTTTTGCTTTATAGTGTTACTGACAGAAATTAGTGCAGCTTCAATGCATTTTCTCCGTCTTAAGTCGTCTTCTTTAATAACTAGTTTAGCTTCATTGAATTTCATGAGGTGTCCAACATCGTCTCTATGTTGAACACATGCGTTTTTGCGGTCATCATTTCTGCAAGCATTTTTGTGTTCTGCTATCCTAATGTCCAGAGTTCTGGCTGTTTCCCCTACATATACTTTGTCACACCCCCCACATGGTATAGTGTAGATTCCTGCACTTGTGCCAGAATCATGCTTGGGTTTTAGTATCAGGTTCCTAATAGTAGTTGAAGAGCTGGTAGATATTTTAGCCAGTTTTATGTCAAACATAAGTGTCTTTTTCCACATCTTGTCGGTATCACCATACCATTTCCTCAAGACAGCAATGCCTAAGCGTACGTAATAAGGCAAATAGATTACTGGGATTTATATCAAGAAGTGTAAGCAACAGAAGTCCAGAGGTTATACTGCAGCTTTATACATCATTAGTAAGGCCTCACCTAGATTATGCAGCTCAATTCTGGTCTCCATATTACAGAATGGACATAAATTCGTTAGAAAACATTCAGCGTAGGATGACTAAATTAATACATTGCATTAGAAATCTTCCTTATGAAGAAAGATTGAAGACTCTTAAGTTACATTCACTTGTTAGACGAAGAATGAGGGGAGACCTGATCGAAGTGTATAAGTGGAAGATTAGGTATTAATAAAGGGGATATTAACAGGTCTTGAGGATATCTCTCCAAGAGAGAACCCGCAGTAATGGATTTAAATTAGATAAGTTTAGATTTAGAAAGGACATAGGAAAGTATTGGTTTGGAAATAGGGTAGTTGATGAGTGGAACAGTCTACCTAGTTGGGTTATTGAGGCTAGGACTTTGGGTAGTTTCAAATTTAGGTTGGATAAGTACATGAGTGGGAGGGGTTGGATTTGAGTGGGACTTGCACATCGGAGCTTATTTCTTGGGTAGCATTGAAAATTGGGTTGGTCAAATGTTTGTTAGTGGAATGAATTGTAAAGGACCTGCCTAGTATAGGCCAACAGGCCTGCTGCAGTGTTCCTCCTTTCTTATGTTCTTATGTTCTTACATCTCGCTCTAAGCCTATATATACCCTCTGTGTCCATGAATTGTTTGTAACGGCTTGACAAAGCTCCTGGAGAGCGAAACGTTGCCACAATAAAATGTCTCATTAGTTGCAATAGTTGTTAGGTAAGACACATATGCAACAGTTAGGTATCTTTATTATGAAACGCTTCGCCTACACAGTAGGCTTCTTCAGTCAAGTACAGAAAAGTTGATAGAAGCAGAAGATACTTGAAGACGATGTAATCAGTCCATCACCCTTAAAGTTTTGAGGTGGTCAGTCCCTCAGTACATCGTCTTCAAGTATCTTCTGCTTCTATCAACTTTTCTGTACTTGACTGAAGAAGCCTACTGTGTAGGCGAAACGTTTCATAATAAAGATACCTAACTGTTGCATATGTGTCTTACCTAACAACCTGTCGGTATTTTATACCATTTTAATGTTCAGTTGCAATAGTGTTCTTTTACTTAAGAAGGAGCACTACAACAGGTCTACTAGCCCATGGTAGGTAGGTCCAAGTTACCTACTGGCTTAAGTTACCTGCCTAAGCTTGCCATGTACAAATTAAACCCACTCATCTATTTGTTTAACCTATTTTTAAAACTACACAAGGTTTTAGCTTCAATAACGTTATCCCTGTCACTAGCAACAATAATGAAATCTTTATAAACTTAAATCTACACATTTCTTTCATCAGAACTGGATCTGACGAGAACCATATTTGACTTGTTTGGTGCTGGATTTGACACCACTTCTAACATGCTACGCTGGATGTGTTTATACATGGCTGCTTACCCAGACGTTCAGAGCAATGTGCAGAAAGAGATTGATGATGCAGTTCCCAGAGACAGGTTACCTTCGCAACAGGAAAAGTCACAGTAGGTAGACACTTATGGTACATTCAGATACTTGCTTTACGATGGTTCCACTTGTAATATTTCAAGTTTACGATGGTATAAATAATTCATTATCACTGTGACTTTTTCAGTTATCAAAAGTTTGGGGTCCAGTCCCTGGACCCATTATGTACCTCTGTAATCTTTTGACCTTTGTAATAAATATTGACAAGTTGGTTTTTGAAAAACTCGTAAGCAAACAATAAGACATATTTATTAGCTATCGTTTCTGTCCTGGGATTTTGATCACTTCTAACATTCATACGAACGAACGAACGAAAGTTCAGGTAAGATCCCAAATGAGATGAGTGGGGAAGACGGGACAGGCGAAGAAAAGTGCTGGAGAGGAGTGTTCTTAGTCGTAGAAACAAAGCAAGGGCTTAACGCAGCAGCGAAGGCGATAGTGGAACAAATATTGAGAAGAGAAATTCAGGATCCTCGGTTAGGACTCCGGTGGGGTGAGCTGGGAGGAAGGAACATGCGACGTTTAGCGCTAGAGAGGAGTGTAGAACTGAGCCATGTCTTAACCCAATAGCTAAGGCGAACGTGGGTCAGAGAGAGGAGTACCTGTCAGAGAATGGTACCTGTCAGAGAATCCAAGGTTATTTGTAAATAGGGTTAGGAGCAGGATCATGCAAGGAGTAGAGAAGGTTGTGTTGGTTTGTGGGTCTGCGAATGTCTTCGTCAAGGAGAGAGGTCCAGTAGTCATGTCGTGTCTCAAGTTTGTCTATCTGTCTGTCACTGAGCGCCTTCCAGTACAGATTCAGCGCAGGGATGTCTAATTGGGCATGGAGAGACTCGCTTGTGGCGACGTCCTCCCATCTGACATCAAGCACCCAGCGCATCGCCTTGTTCTGGACACGCTGCAGTTTAAGTAAGTTTGTTTTTTCTGCAAGAGAGAGAGCTAGAGGAGAGTAAGTTATCAGAGGACGTATTAGGGATTTGTAGAGGTGTAGTTTGGTGCGCTGAGAGGCATGTTTCAGCTTGTAGAGGCCCGCAAGGGCCTTACTAGCTATTGCATGCCTTGAGTGAATGTGTCCGTGTAAACGAAGAAGGTAGTCAAGATTAACGCCAAGGACAGTGACAGATTGTGTTATGGGGATGTAAGTGCGGGTGTCAGCTGTTCTGAGCTCGACAGGTGATGGAGGATCACGTTTCCTGTAGTTAAAATACGTAATGCTGGATTTAGCTGCATTGGTTTTGATCCTCCATTTTTGTTCCCAGATGGCTATCCTTTCGACCTCATTTTGTGTTTTGTGTGTGAGTGTATCTATATTGGAATGAGTGATAAGTTGTGTAATGTCCGCATAGGCTAGTGTGATGGAGTTGTGGTATACAGCTGTTGGAATGTCGTTAGTGTATAAAATGTAGAGGGTAGGGGAGAGGACAGATCCCTGGGGTACTCCAGCATTTAATGTGAAGTAGTCAGAGTAACAGCCTTGGAATTTGATTCTCATGGTACGGCCGTCTAGGAAGTTGCAGAGGAGTTTACGAGTAGTGAGAGGCAGGTTGAAGTTAGTGCAGAGTTTGTAATTGAGCCCTTCGTGCCAGACAGTGTCAAAAGCTTTTTCAACGTCTTTTGCAACCAGGGCTGTCCTGTTTCTTTGTTTTGTGTTTATGTGGATGTAGTTGAGAATGATGTTAATGGCATCCTGTGTGGATCTGTGTGTTCTGAAGCCAAGCTGGCCATCAGAAAGTAGAGAATTGTGTTCCAGGTATCTGCGGAGGCGATGATTGATGAGTTTTTCAAAGAGTTTTCCTAAGTTTCGAGGAGGGCTGATAGGGGCGATAGTTTCTAGGGTCAGAGTGGTCTTTATTGGGTTTAGGAAGGAGGATAGCAGTAGCAGCTTTGAAGAGGGAAGAGAAGTATCCAGAGGCAAGGGAGGCATTGAGGAGGTTTGTGTAGGCAGTAATGATAGAGTCAGGAAGTTGTTTCAGGATAATATGGTTTAGGCCAGAGGCACCAGGGGTCTTGGGAGGTAGGTGTCTGAGGAGAGTTTTAACGTCTGTGTTGATGGAAGGAGTGTCAAGTTCTTGGGAGGAGGTAAGAGAGTCCAGATGAATATGGCTGTCTGGTGTTGTTTCGTGTGTGTGTGTGTGTAGTGTTCCAGTGTTCTGTGTTCTGAATGTGTTGGAGAGCGTTAGGGTAGGGTGGGTGAGGGTGGAAGATGTTCTCCCAGATGTGTTTGAAGAAGTTAGTAGCAGCCTGCGGGTCTGAGATGTGTGTGTTGTTGTGGGTGATGTGTCTGAATTTGTTGGTGGGAGTGGTGCCTCTGATTTTTTGATAAAGTTCCAGAAGGCTTTGGTGTTTTTAATGCGCTGTTTGTCCACTTGTAGTATGAGCTGTGACCAGTGATTGTTGTGGTCTTGGTCTAGACTGTGTAGTATGTTGTTTCTGAGGTAAGTGAGATCTAATCGGACTTGATTAAATCTGTGTGTGTTGTAGAGGAAGCGGTTGTGGTAGCAGATAATTAGTCTTCTTGTTCTGATTGAGGGTTTGAAGGAATAACGAGTGGTGTGGGTTTTCTTTGGTATTGCGGTGTTGGCTGCTTGTGTAATGGTGTCTTGGATGAGAGCAAGTTGAGTGTCAGTGTCAGAGATGGGTTTGTTGTTGTAGTCATAGGTGAGGTTAGTATTATCTGTGTGTTGTTTGAAGGCATCCCAGTCAGCGTTCTTGTAAGAGAAGGAAGGTGTGGCCGGGATGAGAATAGGGTTGGAGGAGATGTGTAAGATGACGGGAATGTGATCAGAGCCTGTAATTGGGCAGGTGATATGTAGTGTTGAAAGAGAGAGCTGGCTCGGTTTGCCAGAATGATGTCGGGTTTGCCTTGGCCTGTGTGGTTGTAGAAGGTGTTGAAGCCTGGACCGAGGTGAACTAGGTGTTTGTGGCTTGTGAAGTTGAGTAATTGGTGACCAAGTTGGTTGTTACTGGTGCAATGAAAGGCTGTGTGTTTGGCATTTATATTAGCTAGTAGGTATGTTGGTGTGTTGGTGTAGTTGAAGACTAAGGAAAGATCGTATATGTTGAGAATAGTGTTTGGACGAGCATAGGTGGTGTAAAAGATGAAGGGTCCAAGGTGGGTGTGTATTCTGATCACAAGACAGTGTTGGTTAATAAAAGGGATTGGGGAAATTCATGTTATATGTTGGATTTGACAAGGATGGCAATCCCATCGTGGGGATCATAGGGGGACTGTAGTGCAGTATAACCATAATGGCAGATACGTTGAGGGGCTTTGAGGCAGGTACTGTTTAGTAAAACAATATCTGGCCTCTCTGCTTCAAGGAGCTCGGACAGTAGGTGTCTAATTGTGAAGTAAGAACGTACGTTGAACTGAATCACCTTAAACATGATTTAATGGTTTCGTCATACCAAAGTTGGTGTCGGGGAAGTTTATATTTTAAGCCCGTGATAGTGGTGCCATCGGTGGGTGTTTGTAGGTGTTACAGACCCATTTCCTGGAGGGGGAGGAAGAGATGGATCTGTTTTTATGTTCTTTGGTCTGCATATCAGAAGTTGGAGGAGGAGTTAAACCTGGATGATGTCTTGGATGTGGTGGAGTGGGCGATGGTGGATGCAGAGGAAGTGGAAGCTTTTGTAATGGAGGAAGAAGTGGGTAAAGAGGTTGGGGGAGTAGTAGTAGTAGTTAAGAGGGGTAGGGGAGAAGGGGTGTTGGTAGGAGGGGTAGATGTGGAGAGGGGTAGGGCTGATGGGGTGTTGGTGGTAGTGAAGAGTGTAGGGGAGGAGGGGTGTTGGTAGGAGGGGTAGATGTGAAGAGGGGTAGGGGCTGAGGGGTGTTGGTGGGAGTGAAGAGTGGTAGGGGAGGAGGAGAGCAGGAGGGTGTAGGAAGAGGCGGAGTAGGAGAGGTTGTAAGGGGTTTAGAAGAGAAGCAAGGAGGGATGATTAGAGAGGGAAGATTGTTAGCAGACAAGATTAGGTTAAGGACATGTGAGTAGTCTGATTGGTAAGCTTGAGAGATTACCATCGCAGAGTGGGCAGCAGTGGCGAGTTGAGAGTTAGTTTTGTAGTCTAGTGTGGGTGTAGGTATAGATGGAGAGGTTTGTATTCTGTGTGTTGGTGTTTGATGTGTGTAGGGTAGAAGAGGTAGACCAAGTGCATGGGGAGGCCCAGGCATTGGGGGTGGGGGAGGGCGGTTTGGTAGAGGAGGGATGTACAGGGATGGGGTTGGGGAGGGAGGGAGGTTGGCTAGCTCTGAGGGAGGAGAGAATGTCTTTTCCAGAGGGGCAGGAATTTGCAACTGCAGTGTGTGACCCGCTGCAGTTAGAACATTTAAGGGGGAGGTTGCAAGTATTCCAGAAGTGGCCAGTTGCTGAATATCTGGAGCAGACTTGTGTAGATGTACATGTGTTTTTGTCGCGGCCGAATTTGTAGCATTTAAGACGTTGTGTGATTGAGTGGAAGTTCGGAGTGAAGAGAGTGTTTGGAGGAATGCGGATGGTCTTGGCAAAGATTCCTTGACTGAAAAGTGTAGAGGCGTCAGCAGGAGTAGAACAGCGTATTTTGAGAATGGTAGTTTCCGGGTCTGTAAATATCGTCAACAGAGACTTTGTTCTAAGTACTGATATCTTTTATTAAGTCTTCTTTGTCTGTGTCATAGGCTGTCAAGAGAGAGTAGTCTACGTGTTTAGCAATGACTGTGCTTTTGGCACGGTGCTCAGGAGTCCAAATAATGGTGAAGCCTGCGTTGAGAAGTTTTTGTGTGGTATCGGTTGAGGTGCACGTTTCGTAGGAATGTTTGTCAAGAAGGAGTTTGAAGCCTGAGTTGGTTTTAAAGACTTTTGTTGAGGTGCACCAGTGATCTGATATAATAAATTTTCAGGACAGATAGTGGCATCAGGATTAGAGAATTTGAGGTTTAGCGAGAGGGAATTGGATTTAGAAGAGGCAGAGGCAGGTGTGGGCGGTAGAGGGAGAGTGGAAGGGGGGTTGGAGGTGGAAGGCAACGAAGGCATCATCTAATTACGTAAAGATGAAATAACAGTTGTGGCGGTGACAATCGGACCAAAAATCGAGAGTATTCAGATAGGCAAGTACGTGTAAGTAGGCACACGTACTTGCCTGGCGCAGGACACTGAGTAGGTGAACTGTAGCTTGATGGAGCACTGTACATCCTGAGTGGTGGCGACACTGGCTGTATGGCGTGCAGTCGACAGGCGTAGACTTCAGGCAGCAACAGGCTTCCTGTACTAGGGTAGGTCACCACCGACACACCAATCCTGATGGTGAAGAGGAAGACGAAGGTCCAGCAAGCACCATCTAAGCGAAGTCTCTCCAAACACCAACATACATATGTTGAAAGACAGTATATATGGGTGGAGGTGAGGTGTGAGTGATGCATGGTGACCTGAAGAATACCATGTTGGGATGAGGACGGGTGGACGATGAGATTATGTGACTACTGTGTTGCTGGGTAGGTGCTGCTTTGCCTGGTTGAGTATCATCAATATTATTGTTTTAGAAATTTTGTGGTTTGCAGTGTTACGATCTATTATGTCGGTGACGGTGATTAGCGAGGCTTCTGGACACCGTCTGCGTCTAAGTTCTTCTTCGGTGAGAACGAGTTGTGCCTCATCCCAGTTTATAAAATGTCCCGTGGAGTCTCTGTGGAGGACACAGGAGTACCTTAAGTCTTCTCTGTTACTGGCATTTTAATGTTAGTTCAGGCAGAGCGCAAGATCTCGTCCTGTTTCTTCTACATAATTTTTTGGACAGAATCCACAAGGGATGGTGTGGACGCCTACTGTGGAAATTAGAGGTGTGGGGCTGCGTTTCGTAGTTAGGTGTTTAAGGTTAAACATGGACGATATTCTTAGCAAGTGCTCGGCGAGTACTAGTGGCAACAGCATCACATGGGAGCACTATGAAATGCTTAGTGGGTTGGAATGTCCTAGTGTTTGCTTACTTGTTTATCCAAACCAATCTTTTGACTACCATCCATACAATGGGTATGATGTTACTACCATCCATACCATGGGTATGGTATGCATAATAAAGATGTTAAACTAAAAAAAATGGTGTGGTAGCGATGCACTTTCAAATATTTTTTGTACTGAACGTAATATAAGACATTTAATGTGGCCCATAGCCATTATTATTATTATTATTACTACTACTACTACTAACATTATTATTAATATTGTGTCAAGACTATTTAAACACTCTTAGTAATTTTACTGTGTACCTGCACGCCAGTACAGTATGTAATTTATTTAGGTACAGGTACACATAAATCAATTGAAATTATGGAGAGTTTCCAGACATAATGGAGAGACGCTGAGCTGACGGGGAGACACAACCAGTTTGCTTCATAATTTAACATTTCCATAATAGCGAAATGCCATAAAGCGAAACGTAGTAAATCGTGTGTATTAATAATAATAAAATAACAACTATAAATAATAATAATAATAATAATAAACACTATTATTATTATTATTAGTGTTTATTATTATTAGTGTTCATTATTATTATTGTGTTTATTATTAATATTAATTCTAGTGTTATTATTCTTATTCTTTATTATTCTATTCTTATTATTATTATTGTTTTATTATTTATTATAATAATAATAATCATAATCATAATAAAACAATAATAATAATAATAATAATATATATTATTATTTATTTAATTGTTTACTATAGTGTTATTAAAATATTCTAAGTGTATTATTCTATTCAAATATATTTAATTATAAATTATTATTATTTTATCAATAATAATAATCATAATCATAATAAAACATTAATAATAATAATAATAATAATAATAATAATAATAATAATAATAATAATAATAGTTCAGTGTTCACTAAGTTAAAGTGTCATTCATATTATCATCAATTGTTTTTGCTGTAACATCATATATTATCCTCGTCTGTCTTCTTCCTTCTCAAAAAAAGAAAACAGCAGAGACTTTTTACAATCATGAATATTTTGCACAAATTCCCAGATTTAGTAATTAAAATAACACCTGCAAATAATTATGTTAATAATGTTAAGTTTTTAAACTTGCCCGAAGAACTCTACATAACAGTTAGGTTGTTGCAGGTACACCTAAATGTCTCTTATCACTGTACAAACATTGTATATATGTACTTGTATAAATAAGTATTATTATTATTATTATTATTATTATTATTATTATTATTATTATTTAGTGTTTGTGATGTAAAGTTTTAAATATCAGACTGCAGTACTTGGAGGCTGTGATCCACGAAGTTCTTCGCATGTCTTCCCTCATTCCCTTCGGTGTCAGTCATTGTGTCACACAAGATATACAACTTGGAGGTTATGTCTTACCTAAGGTTAGTCTACAATCACTTTTCTCCTCTCTAATTATTCCACAAATTATAAATATATTTTTAGACAAACAACTTCACAGGAAGATCCAGCTTTACAGTGTTTTACTTTACAGCACTTTGCTTCGCTTTACAGCACTTTGCTTCGCTTTACAGCACTTTGCTTCGCTTTACAGCACTTTGCTTTACAATGCTTTACTTTATAGAATTTTGCTTTACAGTGCTTCACTTTACAGCACTATGCTTCGCTTTACAGCACTTTGCTTTAGAGTGCTTTACTTTACAGAACATTGCTTTATAATGCTTCACTTTACAGCACTTTGCTTTACGGTGCTTCACTTTACTCTGTATATATATTTTCATCACACACTTTTAGCTAAGGAGGAAAATATTTTAAGGTAAGTAATGTGTGTACTGTATTTACATTTTTTAGGCCTGACTCTGTTGCTCACTTATTATATGATAGTGTTAACATGTTATCAGGCTTTTAAATTGATTTGAAAGTGAAGAAAAGCTCTTGATTCACTTTACAATGATTTTCACTTTACACCAGTAGTCTGGAACCTAACCTGTTGTATAAGTTTGGTCCTACAGTAGCCTGGAACCTAACCTGTTGTATAAGCGGGGTCCTACAGTAGTCCGGAACCTAACGTGTTACATAAGTGGGGTCCTACAGTAGCCCGAAACCTAATCTGTTGTATAAGTGGGGTCCTACAGTAGTCCGGAACCTAATCTGTTGTATAAGTGGGGTCCTACAGTAGCCTGGAGCTTAATCTGTTGTATAAGCGGGGTCCTACGGTAGCCTGGAAACTAACCTCTTGTATAAATAACAAAAAGGCACAATACCGTGACTGGAACAATACACAAATAACCCGCACATAAAAGAGAGAAGCTTACGACGACGTTTCGGTCCGACTTGGACCATTGACAAAGTCACACTAACAGAGGTGGAGCAGAACGGCTATATATAGGCAGGAAGAGGTGGAGGTAGTAGTAGTAGTAGTAGTAGTAGTAGTAGTACTACTACTACCACCTCTTCCTGCCTATATATAGCCGTCCTGCTCCACCTCTGTTAGTGTGGCTTTGTCAATGGTCCAAGTCGGACCGAAACGTCGTCGTAAGCTTCTCTCTTTTATGTGCGGGTTATTTGTGTAACCTCTTGTATAAGCGGGGTCCTACAGTAGCCTAGAAACTAACCTGTTGTATAAGCGGGGTCCTACAGTAGCCTGGAAACTAACCTATTGTATAAGCTGGGTTCTACAGAAGCCTGGAAACTAACCTGTTGTATAAGCGGGGTCCTACAGTAGCCTGGAAACTAACCTCTTGTATAAGCGGGGTCCTACAGTAGCCAGGAAACTAACCTCTTGTATAAGCGGGGTCTTACAGTAGCCCGAAACCTAAGCTGTTGTATAAGCAGGGTCCTACAGAAGCCCGGAACCTAACCTGTTGTATAAGTGGGGTCCTAGAGTAGCCTGGAACCTAACCTGTTGTATAAGCGGGGTCCTACAGTAGCCTGGAACCTAACCTGTTGTATAAGCGGGGTCCTACAGTAGTCCAGAACCTAACCTGTTGTATAAGTGGGGTCCTACAGTAGTCCGGAACCTAACGTGTTGTATAAGCGGGGTCCTACAGTAGCCTGGAACCTAATCTGTTGTGTAAGCGGGGTCCTACAGTAGTCCGTAACCTAACCTGTTGTATAAGCGGGGTCCTACAGTAGCCTTGAAACTAACCTCATGTATAAGCGGGGTTCTACAGTAGCCTGGAAACTAACCTCTTGTATAAGAGGGGTCCTACAGTAGCCTGGAAACTAACCTCTTGTATAAGCGGGGTTCTACAGTAGCCTGGAAACTAACCTGTTGTATAGGCGGGATCCTACAGTAGCTCAGAACCAAACCTGTTATATAAGCGGGGTCCCAGAGTAGCCCGGAACCTAACTTGTTGTATAAGCGAGATCCTACAATAGTCCGGAACCTAACCTGTTGTATAAGCGGGGTCCTACAGTAGCCTAGAACCTAAAATGTTGTACAAGCGGGATCCTATAGTAGCCCAGAACCTAACCTGTTGTATAAGCGGGGTCTTACATTAGCCCGGAACCTAAACTGTTGTATAAGCGGGGTCCTACAGAAGCCCAGAACCTAACCTGTTGTATAAGTGGGGTTCTAGAGTAGCCTGGAACCTAACCTGTTGTATAAGCGGGGTCCTAGAGTAGCCTGGAACCTAACCTCTTGTATAAGCGGGGTCCTACAGTAGCCTGGAACCTAACCTGTTGTATAAGAGGGGTCTTACAGAAGCCCGGAACCTAACCTGTTGTATAAGCGGGGTCCTACAATAGTCCGGAATCTAACCTATTGTATAAGCGGGGTTCTACAGTAGCATGGAACCTAACCTGCTGTATAAATGGGGCCCTGCAGTAGCCCGGAACCCAGCCTGTTGTATAAGCGGGGTCCTACATTAGCGCAGAACCTAACTCGTTGTATAGGCAGGGTCCTACAGTAGCCCAGAACCTAACCTGTTGTATAAGCAGGGCCCTACAGTAGCCCAGAACCTAACCTGTCGTATAAGCAGGGCCCTACAGTAGCCCGGAATCTAACCTGTTCTATAAGCAGGGCCCTACAGTAGCCCGGAACCTAACCTGTTGTATAAGCAGGGCCCTACAGTAGCCCAGAACCTAACTTGTTGTATAAGCAGGGCCCTACAGTAGCCCGGAACCTAACCTGTTGTATAAGCAGGGCCCTACAGTAGCCCAGAACCTAACTTGTTGTATAAGCAGGGCCCTACAGTAGCCCGGAACCTAACCTGTTGTATAAGCAGGGCCCTACAGTGGCCCAGAACCTAACTTGTTGTATAAGCAGGGCCCTACAGTGGCCCGGAACCTGCTGTGTTACCAAACATAATATATTAAGTTTTGTCAGTGTTAAGTGTAAGTTAATTGGCTGTCACCCAAGTAGATATTTCGAGCAGCTCCTCGTTAACAGTGGTGTTGAGAGTGGAAAGATTTTGGTGGGAGATGACATACGTCGTGTCGTCAGCAAAGAGAATTGGTTTTGGGTGTTGTGACACGTTGGGGAGACCACTGATGTATAAGAGGAAGCGCAGGGGACCAAGGTACTCCAGTGTCAAGTGGCCGTAATGATGAGGTTGTGTCTTTAATGGTGACATATTGATACCTATTAGTAAGGTAGGATTTGAAATAAGCAAGTGCATGGCCTCTTACACCAAAATGGTCAAGTTTGTTGGGTAGGATGCCATGACCTACCTAGTCAAAAGCTTTCTTAGGTAAATAAGAAGACCCAAAGGATATTCTTTATTTTCCAGTGCTGTGTAAAGTGCAAAGCAGATCTAGCATTTTTACAATTGCATCATTAGTGCTTTTATTTTTTCAGAAGCCAAATTGGCAGGATGAGTATGTTTTGAGCTGTTAAAAACGAATATATCAGCTCTTGTACAATCACGTTTTCTGAAGCATATTAGGTAGTAGTTGGTAGTCTCAAAAACCAGAATAATACCATCCTCTGGCAGTAGGTTGGTAGACATCAACCACCCAGGAAGGTACTACCATCCTCTGGCAATAGGTTGGTAGACATCAACCACCCAGGGAGGTACTACAGTCCCCTGGCAATCGGTTGGTAGACAACCAGCCAGGGAGGTACTACCGTCCAGTGGCAGTATGTTGGTAGGCATCAACCACCCAGGGACGTACTACCGTCCTCTGGCAGTAGGTTGGAAGACTTCAACCAGCCAGGGAGGTACTACCGTTCTCTGGCAGTAGGATGGTAGACAGCAACCACCCAGGGAGAACTACCGTCCTGTGGCAATAGGTTGGTAGACATCAACCACCCAGGGAGGTACTACCGTCCAGTGGCAATAGGTTGGTAGACATCAACCACCCAGGGAGGTACTACCATTCTCTGGCAGTAGGTTGTAAGACAGTAACCACCAAATGAATGACTACCATCCTGCGGCAATAGGTTGGTAGACATCAACCCTCCAGGGAGGAACTACCGTCCTCCGGCAGTAGGTTGGTAGATAGCAACCACCCATGATGTTGCTACCGTCGTGTGGAAATTGGTTGGTAGACAACAACCACCCAGGAAGTTCCTACCATCCTATTGTAGTAAGTTGGTAAACATCAACCACCCAGGGAGATACTACCGTCCTCTGGCAGTAGGTTGGTAGACATCAACCACCAAGGGAAGGACTACCGTCCTGTGGCAATAGGTTGGTAGCAGCAACCACCCAGGGAGGTACTACCGTCCTCTGGCAGTAGGTTGGTAGACAGCAGCCACCCAGGGAAGCACTACCATCCTCTGGCAATTGGTTGGTAGACATTAACCACCCAGAGGTACTACAGTCCTCTGGCAATACATTGATAGACATCATCCACCCAGAGAGGTACTACCGTCCTCTGGCAGTTGGTTGCTAGACAGCAACTACCCAGGGAGGACTACCGCCCTGTGGCAATAAGTTGGTAGACAGCAACCACCCATGGATGTACTACCATCCTCTGGCAGTTGGTTGCTAGACAGCAACCACCCAGGGAGGTACTACTGTCCTCTGGCAGTAATTTGGTAGACATCAACCACCCAGGGAGGTACTACCGTCCTCTGGCAGTAGGTTGGTAGACAGAAACCTCCCAGGAAGTTGCTACCGTCGTGTGGCAGTTGGTTTGTAGACAACAACCACCCAGGATGTTACTACCGTCCTATGGTAGAAGGTTAGTAGCCAGAAACCATCCAGGGAGGTACTACCGTCCTGTGGTAGTAGGTTTGTAGACTTCAACCACCCTAGTAGGTACTACCATCCTCTGGCAGTAGGTTGGTAGACAACCACCCAGGCAGGTACTACCATTCTCTGGCAGTAGGTTGGAAGACAGCAACCATCCAGGGAGGTACAACCATCCTCTGGCAGTAGGTTGGAAGACGGCAACCACCCAGGGAGGTACTACCGTCCTCTCGCAGTAGGTTGGTAGACAGCAAGCACCCAGTGAGGTACTACCGTCCTCTGGC